ATCTCTTGATATGCCTTTTAGCCTAAGGTATTAAAAGCTGGTGAATATAGATGAGGGAAATGCATTTTTGAAATCCATGAACCTTCATTTGTATGCTTTCATTACTCATGTTATATGTTTCTATGGCAACTCTGAGGTCAGTGGAGTTTAGAAATGAGATACCAGTGTTAATGAAAAGTGTGTACTCTTTGCTTTTGCATGGCTTGGCTTAGCATCAAAGGTATACTAGAGCCACTTGAAAGCATGAAGACCAGTTGTATGGGAACAGGTTTCTCTCGGTGGCACATTTTGCTTTTTCTGAGCCCTCAAATACATTGCCTCAGCATGAACATTATTGTTTCTATAAACTACACATGGTCATGAAGTGAATTATGTGATTAAAAAGGATGGAACGGCTTAATGTTTGCAAATTCCAGTTGGCCATGTGACTGTTTAGCACATATCAGACAAACCTGGGGGGAAATATCGGCACCCTTCTAGCCCCTTTTTTGTCATACACAAATATATTTAGTTTATTAAGTTGTTGGCTGCCCTTGGTGTGTTGGCAGAAAGCTCTTTTTTGGTGCCCATTCCAAATGTGCTTTCTTGCATTTCATGATATCAAAGAAACCACCACCCCTTCTCCCCGACAGCATTTTATGTCATACCATTTATTCCACATTAAATGGGAATTGTGCCTACTTAGAGTGCCCTTCCAATTAATTACATACATGTGTCCTAAAATAATCCAAGCCAGAGACACAAGTGGGAAATTTTTTTTTTGAAGTCCACTCAAGGCCAGTAATTTATCTGAACAAAGTATTTTACCACATTATCTTAACACTTGATATATGAGCCTATTAGGAGTTGCAGGTGGTTTCATAGGGCAAAATCCAAGCGGAGAGGGATATGTGGGGTTTCTATTAGGAGATAATTTTGTTATTGTTTCACCTTTTATTATCCTTCTCTGCTAGGTTAGAATGGATTAATTCTCCAAATTTTTTTCTTTTTATCTTTTAGGGAAAATTTTACAAAAGCGATGGTCTAATGTAAATAACATTTTGAAGTATAGTGCACATAATTTCCCCAGACTGTTCCAACCTTATAATCAGTAAATGCTTTAGAGTTTTTTAAATTAACACTTGTGTTGCTAAATTCTATTTATGTAAGTCTGCTAAAATTTTTAACCCATTTAAAACGTAAACATTTAAATAATGGATGGGTTACTCTGAGCAATTTAGCTTTCAGAACCCCCTTGTTTTAGTATATGAAAAAGACAGCCTAATGCGCATTAATGAGGTTGGAGAGACTATGAGAAATATGTATAGTGTATATTTTAAAACAGCTTTGCTTGTATTGTGAAGATTTAAAAACAAACTTGAGATTTTTAACGTAACTATTAACACAGTTTTAACATAAGTTATCCCACTGGGTTTAAGAGCATCTTGAATGTATAATCCTTTTTGTAACCCAGGTTGGTTTCTGCTTTTACCAGTCATCCCAAACATATTATTTATGTTTTTAGTTTTATATACTCATTTACTTTTGTTTTCCTCAACCAGCATGATTTTTTTGCACATGTAGAAATTTTTAAAAATTAATACATCATTTTCTCTGGATTTTCTTCACTTCTTTCTTCCTTTCTACTAACCCCTTACCTTAAAGGCCATATCGCTCCATTTGCATTATTTATGCAAATACAAGGGTTTGTTTTTATTTTTTATTTTTGCTATTTACCTAAAGAAAGAAAAATGCTTCAGTCAGTTGCTTTTTTATTTAAAAAAAGAAAAAAGAAAAGAAAAAAAGCTGTAACCTTATCATTTCTGAGTAGACCATTAAGAGATGAATGCACACCTGTAATAGCCCAGGACCAGCTTTGGTGGCTAAAGGGAATATTTTAAATAAGCAAGAGGTTTTTTTCTAAAAGTGGTATATATTCACAATCTCTTTCAATTATTCCCACAAGTCAGGGGTCCAGATAAAATGAGGGTTATCAGCTAACTGATAAGTTATCATTGAGGTTCATCAATGAATTTGTACATTTCTAGTTCCCTTTGGTGAAGGGACAAATGATGATTTTGCAAGACCTAGATTTTTGGCTTGATTTCTTGCCTCCTTTTTTGGCAGCCTTCATCTTCTCATCTCCCAACGCCCTTGAGCCTGTAGGGTTTTCGTGGTGGACGAAGGACCTGTAGTCTTTTGAAACTACGACTGATTTTTTTGGTGAGAGATTATCATGTTGAAAGTGATGTTCTACCACTTTACCAATGACTAATTTTAAATATACACAGTCCTCTCAATTTTTGGACCAAACAGATGCCCACAGTGGAGGCTTATCAAGGGTTGCAAAGGAGTAGAAGCCTCTCCCTCACTGTCAGCACCAGCTGGTAAAGGTGACTGTACAGATGTGCATTTTCCTTTTGGTAGAAATGGTCCGCAGCACTAACTGGTAAGGCTTATTGTACAGTATATTGTCAGTATTCTTCTGGTTCAACATACCTTATAGTTCATATATAACCTGTATTAATTGTATAGATTGTGCATTTAAAGCTGTTACCAAGTTGTCAGAACATAAGAGCGAAAACAAGGTCATATGTAATATTTTGTTTGTAAGTATCCTTTGTATCATAGCAAAGGAAATGTTTAAAAAAAATCAACTGTAATAAAGTAATTTTAGTACACAGAGTGTCTGCTCAGTTTTTTTAAGTAATTGTACTCGCATAAAGTATATTTCACTTCAGTGACTGTCTGTTGGATAATTACTGAATCTGAGGCACTGTGCTGAATTTTAGGGTTAACAAAAATGAGTAAGATACGGGTAAGAAAGAGCTGCCTAATGTAGACAAAAACCCTCTGGTCTAGTTCCCTCAGGTTCTGTTTGCCCAGACAGTGAAGTGGCTTATTGTGTTGTGGGTGTGAGATAATTCTACTGTAGGTTCTAACGATTTGATGTAGGTTCTTAAGTTTTATGTAGAATATATTGTGGTCTGTACAACTATATCTCCTCCCACACACGTAGACACGTAGGTATATGTAGTCTTGGACCTTGTACAAAGCTTCAGAATTGCCCAGGTGATTTTATCTGGGTTTATCTTCCAGGTTTGAAAATCATCACATTTTAGCCCTGTGTGGAGTAGAATTTCTAATCCAGTCCTGTTGTCTGAAACAGTATTAAAATGACTTATTTTGTCAGAAGGCTAATTTGGAGGGAGGGGGGTGACATGGGCTGGGTTTATATGTCTTTTTAATTAGAAAATCATTTTAAGTGTCATTTTAAAAAGTAGAATTGAGATGATCTACTTTATTGAATAGGTTATCAGGAAAATGGCTCTTAACTTTTTAACATGGCTTTTAAACTCCTAGAATGTTGATATTGAGCTGTTTTGACATTAACATTTATATAGTGTTTAATTTGCCTGAGTTGAACAACTATGTAGCAGAACCAAGATTAGATTCCAAGTGTTCTATCTCCAACATTGCCAACATCCCACCTTGAATTTGTAGGAACTCAAAAAGGGTTTAAAAACAAGATTTATTTTCTGCTTTATCCCCACAATTGGGCTCTTCAAACTACAGTGGAAGAAAAGTGTTATAAAACATGTGCTTCTAGCCATGTCAACAGCCCAAAACAAATGTCATTGACTAAACACACCAAAGATGCTCTGAGTTATGCTTAGAGTTTAAAGCTATCCTACCTGACTATAAAAGAAATTTGAACATAAAAAAGTGGCCAGCTGGTGGTCAGCTAGCTCTGCAGCCCCAGTGGTTATAAGGTAGTGCTACGTCTCGATGCCAGTTGCAGAACCACGGTTTCCCTGTACATGTCCCAGACAGTTAGTGACTAATTGCTTATATTTTCAGATGCTTGTTCTTAAGGAGAAGAGGGAGACAAGGCTGCCGAGGGTGTTAAGGCTATGCAGGCTATGCAGTAAACTTTTGGGGTGCCATTTATAGATTAATGTGTATGCTCCCCCGTGGAGTTGTGCACTCCAGCGGCTCTGAAAACATTCTCCTTTTGTTGATGTCCTTTACTTTATGGAGTCTAAAGTGAACATTATTTACTGTCATCTCAGCCAGTGATTGACTAGGAAAAGGCAAAGTACGGCATGAAGAGCACTGGTTTGGGTTCTGGTCTTTAGCCCCATTAGTACTTTCTGTGAGATCTTAAAAGTCACATCTGTATCGACTGTCACTTATAAGAAATAGGGAAGTGGATGGTTTTTGGCTGGAGCAAATGAAGCCATGTGAAACCTATTGGCCATAACACAGTTATCAGAGAGAGAGTGTGTGTGTGTGTGTTTGGGAAAGGGGTGGAGAGGGTTTGCCCTCAATTGGGCAACCCAGCACCCCAGTGTTTGAGACTCTAAGGTGCTGCTTTTCCAGGCCTTTCCCAAGTTTGCAGTGGAATTAATAACTGCAATTTCTTGGCTTTTTAAGAACTGGAAAATAAGATTCTGATCTGAAAGCAGATGCTGCCTCATGATAGAGGTCTTTGAGCTCTGGTTGAGGAGTTAAATGGACTTGAATAGTTAGGATCCACCTGCTTTTATTATTTCATTCTATCCTGACAGACCTAAATTAAGGCCTATTCATAGTCTCAGTCTTTTCATATGAAACAACTCATAAAATAACTTCCCCAAAGTCATAGGAGTCACAGATCTGAAGTAGAAACTAGAACCCACTTCTCCAAACTACTTCAGTACTCTGTCCAACACACAAATTACTAATTGCCCACTGGAAAATATCTCTATGTAGGTACCATTGATCATCAGGGAATTTTGAGCCTTTGGGAAATTATTAGTCTAGAGCAGGCGGCCTGGTTGTTGATTAAACAGAGCTGCCAGTGGTTAGTGTTAGAGCACACAAGGTTAGATGTATAGAAGTGAAGCAATGACCAGCAAATAAAGAATGTGCAGTGAGGCCGTGTTAACTTCACAGGTAGGTAAGCATGGCTCAATAGATAGAGGACTTAAGAAGACAAACAGCTCATTTGTCTCTGGAGATTTAAAAAAATAATGACATTCCATTGTTGCAGGGAGACCAATTTATTATTCAGAGGCAAACAAGTTGGAGAGAAATTTTTGTTCAACCACACTGCGATAGACACCAGAGCAAGGTATTACCTTATTACATACACAGGAAGGCTGGAGGAGCTGGATACATTTGTTTTTGATGTGTTAGTATCTTTTATTGTTTGTTTCAATGATACTCCACTTTTCCTTCAAACTTTTGCCTTCCTGGATACTTTAGAGCATAATTATTTGGATGTCTTAAAACCCTATCACTTTGGCACAGTTATTTTCATTAAAATTTTTATGTCATGTCCCAACTCCCAGAATTTGGATCAGGTCTGTGATCTGACCCACAAGCCCCTAAACCAACCGAAGTCTTTACAACCCACTGAGCTCATTAGTGTTATTTCAGTTTACCCACTCTCGGATGAAAAGAGACATTATATCTAATCTAGACCACCTTTATTTCTCAGCACATCCCCTCCATGATGTGTGCCAAGTGGCAGTCTAGCCTGCATATCCCTCCAATGATGTGAGACTTCCTGTTTCCTGAGGCATTCCTTCCATCTCTGGGCACTCCCTAGGTAAAACTCCTCAATTTTAGCTCTGCAAACTAAGATAACTCATGAGAACTTTCTGATGTCATCCTTTGTGGCTTGGCTGTAGAGTCACTAATGCTCATTGATATCATTTGGCACGTTTTGCCACAGTGGCCAAGTGTATCTGCTTGTTTAAACAGGGAGGGAAATTTATACTAAAGTTTAGTTCTAAAGGAAGAAACCTTGACATTACTAAGAGTGACTGACAAAGGATCTTGCAGTCTGGGTGGAAGATGAGCACAGAGGACCTTCTGACTCTGACGTGGTTTTGAGGTTATTTATAAAGCCAAGATGACACTTCCTGTGTAGACCTCTTTTCTAACAGTACTCAAGTCTTAGCAAAGATGTCTTCACTGAAAATAGAGATGATGTCTTCTCAAAATGAGGATTTGATGCTATGTTTTTCATATTGTCATCTCTGGCCAAGCTACCTTAGAGACCCATCTATAAATACATAAAATACTAAATCTTTGAGAGAATTAAGTTATAGCTTAGCACAGGCTTTGGTATCAGAGGTCAGAGCTTAGTAAAACTCAAAGAAACCTTCAGAAGCAGCTGTCTGCTTCCTGTATTCTGATCCAGTGGGTGGAGACACAGAACTCAGTTTCTCCTTCTGAGATAATGCTACCTTTATTGTCATTGGGTTGTTTCTGTTTTTGTCTTTGTTTTTCCTTTTACCATTTGAAGGTATTTATAAATAATGAAGAGATCAAAAGGGAGGCAAGCAAGTGAATGAGGCCTGAGAGGATTGTAAAGATTCACTACCTGGAAAGTTCCCAACTCAGTGGTATTTCTTTGGTTTTTGTTTGTTGTTTATTTCTTGCTTCCTCAAACTTGTAACTTGTCAGTTTGTTCAAGGGCCATGCAATCTCTCAGAATGTGTGCCTGGGGTTCCTCCAGCTGGTTTCATATAATTAGCCGTTAACCAAAGCAGAGCCAATTTGGGTGATTCCTTCATCGGTAGACTGAAAGACAGGGTCACCCAAACCTGCTTGGACAGGGACTACACTTTCTTGGCAAAAATGAGCTTTCATTAAATGGTGATGAGAAGATGAGAGAGAAGGAGCTTCCTGAGATCAGCTGAGTATATCTGGCACAGGCACAAGGGGCATGGAGGACAAATACTTAAGGGTTAGGTCATTAAGGCTGTGGATCCAAGGGAATCAATGGAGCCTGGATTAGGGCTATTCTGCTGTTCTGAGAGCTTTAAGACTATAGGTGAAAAAAAAAAACGATGTATGTATAAAATAATGTATGTATTTTCTCCTACCTCACCACCACAAGCTTTCTTTCCTATAAAAAAGGAACCACAATTTCTCCAAAAACTATTATCTTAAAGAACCAGAGTCTGAGGTATCTGGCCTAGAGAAACAATCTACATTTTAGCCCTTAGAGGCCCATTAACCCTGGGAAGGGTGGGGGATGGGGTGTTAAAAAAACACTAGACTGCTTCCCATTTTGCCGTGAGCTCTGAATGATTGTAGGATCTTGCATCTGGGACTGCAGAACCTAATTAACCGAAATCTCCACTGTACCAGATGCTAGGGGAGAGGGGTGGCCAGATGTCAGTAATTCTTCTTCACCAAGATTCATACCACAGCTGTTAACCAGAAGTAGAACAGCTTCTTTAGGGTTCACTCCCTTGTTATTTCTCCTGCTTACAAATGGTTGAAAGAATTTTAGATGAAAAATGTGAGTTTCTTTTGTATAGCACAGGGAACTAGGTTCAATAGCTTGTAATAACCTCTAATGGAAAAATATATGAAAAAGAATGTATGTATGTATGTATGTATGTGCATGAATGGGACATTGTGCTGTACACCAGAGACTGACACATTGTAATTAACTGTACTTCAATTTTTTAAAAAATGTGGAGGAGGAGAAACAAGAAGTGGGGAAGGAGGGAAGTAATTTTTTCATGACAGAATAATGTGCCTTAGACAATTGAGTGTTGTCTGCATTTCAGTTCAGATTCTTGTATAGTTCAAAGTTTCTTCTTATTTGATCTAGAAGAACAAGGATGAGCTAAGATTATACAAACCTGAAAATCATGGCCCCGGGAATTTCATACCAAGCCTTGGGATATGGCTTTTGGTAAACATCTCTCCTCCTTAAAATTGCCAGGATGGAGCTTCCTGTCAAAAAACAGTTACCCTCTTTCTTGATGACAAATTAAAATAAAGCTACTGGCAAAGCTTTTTTTTTTGGTTAACTGGATGTCCTATTGTATTGTGTAATGGCCTAATCCAAACCCATGTTTTGTGGATCTATCTGTACAATGCCTTATTTTATTCTGACCTTCAGCATTAGTCCTCATAAAACCAAAGAGCCAAGTCACTGAGTGGCCAGATCCAGGAGGAAGATTTTTCTGTGTCTACATGGATGTCCTTTTGAATAATTGAGCAGAAAAAGCATGGTATTGTGAAATATCAGTAAATCATTGAGGTAGCTCTAGCCAATCTCCTGGAAATTTTGTTTGTTTTTCTCTGGTCCCAGATGTCCCTCCAGGCTCTGGAGAGGGAAAAGCTAAAGTAGTGTCAGAAACGAGGGCAATGAACCAAAAAACACTTAAGATATGAGGTTTATATTTTTACCACTTAGAGAAAGCCCACATCCCAGGGAAAAAACAACTCTTACTAGAATTCTTTGGAGTAATCCCCTAAAATGTTCCTGGAGGGAGCAGCTAGAGTGTCTGAGAGTCTGGCTCCTTGAGCCATAGTCAAGCAGACTCTGCTTGCAAGGACTTCCTGTTAATAAATCATCCTTGGACTCTCTCCAGTGAGTCTTGAGGTTCTAGCCTAAAGCCCCAGATCAGCCCCACTCCCAATCAGGACTGGCAGAACTTGTCCAAAACACTGGACCTTAGTATTCCAGACACAGGCATTCACACTCTCAACCTTGTCACCCTCACCAACCCAGTCTCAGCACAGCACTTACTGTCTCTGGGCCTTTCTCATAGTCAAGCAAGACTGATGTAGCCACACGGCTCTGTGAGCTGCTTCCATAGTTGCCACCACATGAAGTCAGCAGAGCACCACGACAGCAGGAAAAAAAAGAGGGAAGTGGGACCAAGACACAAACATCCTGTCCCCACTACATCAAGTGGTTCCAGCTTGAGAATCAGGGTCATAGAGCTGATTACTTATGTGGGACAGACCTGCCCAATGGCTCACAAAAACTCATCTTCATCTTCTCTGTAGTCTTTGCTAGTGAGTGAGCATCTTCTCCTGAGTCCAGGGACTTAAATGGTGCTATTCTTTGACTTATGAGGCTGGTGACAGGAAACAGTGACCGGAAACGGGCAGTTGCTGAAACACGATGAGCTGAAATGTATAGAACAGGGCCCAGGCAGGAGTTCTGCTCAGGGGAAAGTGAACACCAGCTTGCTGGAAGTTCCATCTCTTTCCACAGACCAGTTTAAGAGTGAAGGAGCTGAGTCAGCTGGAGCTGCCAGCCGCGTTCAGTCCTCACCACATTCTCAGCATTCAGCCATGACCAGCTCTGTTCTCCCTTGCAGGGCTTGGGGATAGTTCTCGGGTTATGTCTCACCTTGTATATGACCTCTTCCAGCTAAAGATCTCCTCCAGATAGGAAGAGGGAGAGACCTCCCGCTTTGGCAGGGTTCCCCAGCGGCGCCGGCCCCCTAGGCAAGAAGCTCGACGCCTGCTCAGCCCTTTCATCTTCTCTTCCATTCGGAAGAACTCAGTCAAGGCCCGGAAATACTCCAAGATGACTTCGTGGCTCCAGGCTGGCAAGGGCTCTTGGCGCAGGAAGCCACAGTGGCCTCCATGGTGGCTGAGCAGGAGGAAGAAATAGGGGTTGCTGTGAAAGAGTTCAGTTGGCAGAAAGTGGTTTGGGGGCCCGCACACGGGATCATCAGCACTACAGATACACAGCACAGGTACGGCTGCCTCGTCCACATCCCGGAGGGGGTCATTGTGGTCCCAATAGGTGTCCCAGCTGATGGGGAAACTCTTGGTGTGGCAGAAGAGGGTCTCCTCAAACTCTCGCAGGGAACGGCTCCTGAACAGTTTTCCGATGTCCACTGTGTCCTCCAGGGCGGTGGCATACCTGGCAGCAATAAGTTGAATGGAGAAGGTAGGAAAGGGAGGGAAGAATTAGGGAAAAAATTGACAGCAGAAGTCACAGAGTGGCAACCCACAGGCCCGAGTCAGAGGCTTTCTTTGGCCATACAGTCTATTTTAAAACTTCCATTTCATTGTCATCAGTTAAATGCAGCTATCTGGCTTCTTGGGGGAAATAAGGAGATCTGGTGAAATGGGCTAACATTCCCCATGGTAACAATCAAGGTATTTCCTCCCTCCTTCCTGTGTTACAGTTCCTACCAGGCCTGTCATTCATGGCATTATCTGTCCAGCCCCGGGGCATTTGACTTTCCAGCTGCTGAGCTACAGTGACAGCTCTCCTTTTGACTCCAACTTCTGACCCTCTATAGGGAACTTGCAATGAACTGTTACCTCCTGAACCCCTCTTAGAAGAACCCACTGGCTCAAGCCAGCAAAGTGACATTTTACTTTAAGTTGTAGTAGTTAGTTTGTTCTTTGAAAGTTAATATGCTGTCCAGATGATAACAAAGGAGTGTGACCTTGATCATCAGGGCAGGTATTCCTAGAGAGGGCTGAGTGGCAGAGGAAGTGACTGGGAGTGTACTGAATTTACAGGGTGAGTTTCCAAATAGGAACCTGAGAGCAACTGCTCTGGAAAAGAGGGACATTATTGCCATTTCCACCTCCATGGAGAGGTCCTGGAACATTGACAAGGAGGCCAGGATGGGCAGCTCAGAACTTTGTTTGGATTAATCCAGACTTAGCCAGCTGAATTTGGATAGATGCCTTCTGCAAACATTCAAAAAGGTTTGTCCCAAGGTGACAATCCCAAATTTTCATAGGCAGGGCAGTTCCTAAAGGCCCAGGTTTCCTCTCCACTTCCCTCACCTGATCCTCCAGCTGGTACCCAGGGTCAACAGTGATGGTGGTCATTTGGGGATGGAAATTGGCAATTAAGCCATGTGAGAGCATCTTGCCCCTGGACTGTTCTGGCAGCTCTGGGTTGCCATGGAAGCACATGGTCTGTTGTTGAGTTCAGGGCTGACCTTTTCAGAACAAGAAGCAAAATGGGGCAAGGAAAGAAAATCACAGTTGCTACCATGTATTGCTGCCAGGCTAATGCCAGGCCCCTCATTTTCTTTAACTCCTATTATGCTTATAACCATCTTGTATTACTAACTCCACTTAACTGGAGAAGGATGTGAGGCTCAAAGGGGTTAAGTTGCTGGAAATTCAGGATTTGAACCCAAGTGGGTCTGACCCCACATCCCAGGTCTTTCTGCCACACCACACTGTTGCTATTATGTCTTTGACCTCATTCTGCCATCTCCTAGGAAAACAACAGTGTAAGCTGAGGCCTGGTTATTTGCTGTGGGAGTGTCACTTAGGCCTTCTCAGTGGAAAAGTCTCCCCTTTCACCCTGATGGTAGGTTACTACCTTCTAAGAAAATTTTAAAAATTATATTTAAGTATTCTTTAAGTTTTTGCATTAAATATTGAGTACATACCTAGGAATATGAAAGCATTTGTCAGATCTAAAGAATTTTAACAAATACCACCAAATTTTTTATTTCTGTCACCTCCAAGCTCAGAGACCATAAGGAAATATTCTGGACAGATCATCAGTAAGCGACTGCTTCCAGAGCCCTCTTTGCTGACTTCACAAGCTATGGACTAAGTGATGTACATGTCAGGTGCTGCCTTTGCTTCTGGTGGGTCAAGTGCTCAGGTTGCTAGGATACAGTGGGGCTGAAGTGAGGCCAGAGGGCCCCAGGGCAGGAGTCCCTGCTCTAGTTAATGAAGCTGACTGAGTCGTCTGTGGCTTTCAAACCTACTTCCTTTATTCTGTCCAGACTAGAGGGCTTGGACGCGTCAGAAAAACGTGTGAGAACTTTGCCCCAATTGCTCTAAACCTGTTTGATTCAGTACCAGGCAGAGCTGTTTCTCCGTGAGCCCCAAACCTCTAATCCCCTCCCTGCCAATCTGCAGCTTCCGTTACCCACCTGCTGAGGGCGATCTTCTGGTGGAGCAGAAAGCCCCGCTCGTAGGGCCAGGGCAGTCCGGCCTCAAACCACTCGCGGCATCGTAGCACGGGCGAGATGCAGGCGGCGCCGGTCACGTAGCTGGAGGAGCCACACTCACCCAGGTAAGACAGCAGCAGCGCCGAGCCTGAGCCTTCGCTCACCGCGAACAGCGGAGCCGCGGGGTGTCGGAAGCGGATGTAAGTGATGGCCTCCTTGAGGTCGGACGGGTCCCCGAAAGGCTGCAGCCGAGGGCTGACCAGCGGGCAGTCGTGGTGGCCTCGACGGTGGAAGATGACCGGGTAGTAGCCGCGTTCCAGGGCCAGCAGGCAGAAGCCGAGGACGTTGCGGGTGAGCCGTCCCCACGCATTGGGGATCACCAGCAGCACTGCCGGGAGGCCCCCGGCGTTGGTGACCCGATGGCTCCGGGCACAAGGTCCCACGACCCAGTCCAGGGCCACCAGCCCGTCGTCCGCCAACTGCAGGTACTCCCGGGCCAGCTCAGGCCCCGGCCCCACTGGCAGCACGAAGTGACAGAGGGTCTGCAGGTGGGGTCCGGAGAGCCAGGACCGCGGGCCGGGTTCCAGCGCCGCCGAGCGTCGAAAGGCGCGCAACAGGCACTGGGCCAGCGCCGACGGCTTACAGATAAGCCTGCATCCTCCCGGCAGCGGCTCACGCCCGTCGCTTAACTGATCTGCGGGGCTTCGGCCATACACCTCCTCTTTGTGGCCCTGGCCCCCGGCCCCCGGCAAGGTCCTCGCTCCGACGGCGAGCCTCCCGGGGCGCCGCAGCCACGGGGCGAGAAGGCCAAGCAGAGCGAGAGCGGCCAACATTACGAGGGCGGCGCCCCACGGCGGCATCGCGAGGCGGGAGAGTCCCCGGCGAGCGGTGGGCGGCAGTGCGGGGACGTACCCTCCGCGAGCTCCCGGCTCTGCCCGCGGCTCCGCCCGGCCCCGGCGGCTGCCCAGGGCCTTTCCGCGCTGGGGGGCGGGGCGGGGGGGCCGCGCTCCGGATTGGCCGCGGCCCCGCAGAGGCAGCCAGTTCGGACCCGGCTCCCCTCACCCGCCCCCCATTCCCGCCCCCGGCCCTTTGTACAGCGATTGCGACAAGCGGGAGCAGAAGGTGAAAGGAGCCGAGGCCACGGAGAGGGAGCGAGGATGCGCTGGCGAGCGGGAAGGGAGTGGGGAGGGCAGCGAGCCGAGGAGTGGGGTGTGGGCAGCAGAGAAGTGGGGGAGACTCGGAGACTGAGGCTTGGGGGACGACGATGAGTCTCAGAGTCCTCTGTCCCCGTCCCTCCACCCCGTGGGGTGTGTAGGGTGTGTAGCTGCCGGGGAGACCCTGCGTCGCTGCGCCCTCAGGAGCCGCTATAGAGAAGTAGCAAAAGGAAGACGTGAATAAACCGCAGCTCCCGGCGTGGGCTCCCGGGCTTCCGCCGGGCGCCTTGCAACTGCAGCTGGAGCCACCAACCGCGTCTCCGTCCCCGAACTCGGCTGTGCTCTCTGACCTCCATGTTTGTCTTGGCTCCGCGGGCATCCCCAACTGTCCAGTAACCTGGTCAGGCAGGGGTCCGGCTCGGCCAGCGAGAGCCAGCACAGGCGTCGTGCCCCGACGGCGGGTTTGCAGCGGGAGGCTAGAGAGCCAGGGAATACTCATTCCCTTTCCTGCATCAGTACGCTGTCCCGATCCCCCTGGGAGTGTGGGACTCCCCTGGAACCTGGCTTCAGGTAGAGGAAATCAACACCGCTCCCCAGGAAGCACTTCCCTAAAAGAAACAGCCCCAAACCTCCGACGATAAGGTGGTGGAAAAGAAGTACTCAGGTGCCCTTCCAGGGGCGACCTGGCCATGTCAGGGAATAAATCACAGTCCATCAATTCAGTAACTGGCAATTACTGGGGAACGAGAGAAGGATAAATCCCCCCATGTAAATCATGTGGGAGACGTTTTTGCTCTATTTCAAAGTTTTGGGTTATGCATCTCAATCTTCACCCTCCACTTGTTTTCCCATCTTTCCTCAAAATTCTGAGCTGGGCCAAAAAGAAGGGCAGCGGGGAGAAGGCAGGAGAGTAGGCGCCTCGCTTCAGGGGATGTCCGGCTTTCGCTCTCTGCTGGGGGTGAGGCCTGTGCTTCCTCTACCTCACGGTGACCAAGGTCTCCTGGGACCCCGCTGACCACCGCTGAGCTAACCACGAGAGCGGAGGCTGACGTGGGGAGCAAAGCAGCCCCCAGCCCGGCTCCAGTTTTCCGGGATTTCTGGGCCTGGGGAGGGTGGAAGCCTGATGAGACCTTCCAAGGCTCCTCCAGGTTCGGGCGCTATTTGCGAGAGCAGGAGTGGGATGAGCTGAAGGGGACCCTTTAGAGCGGCGACCTTCTTCTTTCCACAGCTCGGACTTCGTGATTCTGCCCCTCTTCAATTTGCAGGTCACATCGATGAGTCTGAAGCAGGTTTGCCGAAGGGGCGGACCCATCTTCCGTCTGGGCCATACGGTTCACAGGGATCTCATTTCCCTCCCTTCTCCCGGCTCCACGATCCCACCCATGCGCTGCAGCTGCGCCCTGCAGGCCGCGGAGACCCGCTGGGACCAGTGCCAGGGCGAAGGAGGTGGTCCCGCCTGCCTCCCAACGCAGTGCGCAGGACACCGGCTCTCACACAACTTTTCCGGCTCGGGGTTGAGGACGCGTGCGCGCAGGATCTGGGGCTGTGGGCGGGCACTGGGGCGGGGCGGGGACGCGGC